GTAAGTGGAAGTAAGCAAATTTACTATCACCACATTAATTAAGCGTTGAATGCAGTTTGCTCTTGCTACCCTGTCAAATTGGCCCCGTGCCGAAAGTACATATGCATAATCGCTAGCATTGACATTAGTTACATTTTGTTTTGCACTTTTTTATACTTAGGCGAAGCTTAAAACAGTGTGTGAGATGTTGACAACTGCAGCTGACGAATCGAACAGAATTGCATTTCGGCCCCTCACCACGACAGTCCACATGTCTGATGGAGAAAAGTTGAAGGCGTCCAACTCCAACGATCTTTCATTAGGCCATTCTCAACCCTGCTTGTTTGTCCGTTCCCCTTCACAATTGAAGAATCTATCTTCTCCGTCAACCAAACGTTCCGACACTTCCAATCCTCGAGAAGGTACAGTATTTTGTTCCCCACCGAAAATGCTCAAAATGACCACTGAGTCAGTGGCAGGAACGTCCCCAGTGCCATCCACGTCTCTTCAGTCAGAGGCGAATGTCATAAGTGATGACAGTGGGGGTCATGTCAGCAGCCAACCACTAAGTGGCCGCTGGTCCTGTTGGCGTGAAACGACTCGCAGCATTGCGGACTCCGCAGAGCCGCCAGAGGATACAACTTTGGACGAGGCTGATTTGGATGATGAAGGAGAATCGAGCCGGGCGGCGAAGGCTTCCGAAGTAGCCATGCACGCTACTGAAGGCGTCTCACAAGAACTTTTGAGCAGCATCAATTCCCTATCTTCCCTTAGCGAGGTAGACTCGAGTGTGGCTCAGTCGGAGGCCGTCGTCGTCAACCGGACGCCAGAAAGTAAAAATTAGGTTCCAGTTTCGTAACTGTGACTACTTATTTTTCCAGCTTTGGTACGTCGTGCACTTTATAATAAAAAGTATTTTTTATATACACGGCCTTACATTACTTGAACACAAGGTACCAGGAAAAGCGCTTATTTGCATTGGAGTTTTATTTATGCAACAACATCAAAGGTGAAAACGTTGAAGTGTCATTCAGATCAGGTGTTCTCTCAGTACGGTCGAGGGGAGTCATTTTTTCCCTGCCATACTTTTATGTTTGGTCGAATTGGTCGGTCGTCGCCTTTTTGTTCGCCTAGAAAGTGTTCAGCATAGATGCCTCTGATTAACTGTTAAGTAAAATAACAAATTACGGTCATTTCTAAGTACTTCTAGCCTCATCATTAAGTCTCACCACTAATCGTTTGCCATCTTGCTATTCTTCTGCTTAAGCGCACTAACCTGTTAGTTTGAAAGTCGAAGCTAAGGACTCTCTTTTGTATAGACTAGCGATTGAGCGAATTTCTCTAGAAGGTAGTCCTGCAAGAGCTGCATCACCAGAAGGACCGGGTTTCGCATTTTCCCATGTCTTAGTTGTCTGTCCCACTACTGGCGTCAGAGGTTGCGGTGGGGAGAGCATAGGTAGCAAGGTTTTTCCAATTTCTCCAATCTATACAGTTAGTTAACATTACAAAGGAAGTAGGATGGCCTGCGAAAGTGCTGCTCAAATTTATTAGATACCTTCTCATGCGAAACGGCCAACATGCTGCAAGGAGTTTGTCCGGAGCGAATAAGCCCCGCCTTCACACTCTTTCCCTCCTCCTGGTCGCGTGGCGTTGTTTCTCGTAGTCGGCCGTACTGCACAGCTATTCGGCCACCGACTATGGTAAAAATTGGCTTACTACAATCGCCTTCGGGCCATAGCACTAAGTCAGCGTCTGCTCCAATTGCTAGCTGGCCCTTTTGTGGGAGTAGTCCCGTCAGTTGAGCTGGTATCTTGCAACTTGCTTCGATTATGTGACTCTCGTTTCCCCATCCTCCTCCCTAATGTTTATAGGGGCCAGTAAATGATTTTATATCGGTTCCTTCAGACAACTTAATGGAGCCTTCGCTGAGTTAATTAGTTTCGATTGAGAATGATGAAAAACTCCTAGGTGTTGATAGCACTCAAGGTGGAACTTTGCGACTTCTCCATTTTTTCAACTCACTTCAAGTATACTTGTAGTTCGGATCAATTTTCGTGCTTTATTGAGAAGACATTTTGTAAACGCATTATGGAATGATCTACAAATGCGTACCACGATTTTTTGATAGGCCTTTTGGATCCACGGATTCTCGGATGATTTCATCTCACTGAATAAGGCATACGATTTTCCACTTGAAAGTATGACGTGCTCCTCAGCAGCAATGTAGGGAGCCTGGTCGTCCATTGAATTCTAAAAGAGATCGCCAAATTTCTTCCAGCTGTCAGTAATTGGCACACCAATGAATTATGTGAAAAACAAGCGAAGTTGCAACCTACCTCTACGAATGCATCAACAGCGAAATCAGCGTATATGGAAAGCGGTGGGTGTTCGCGTTGAGATGTGTAGATTTTGTGCATCACTGCAGCACTTCGTACTGGTGATAAAACAATCGGACAGCCTGCAAGCTTGGCTATTCTGATCGCTATCGTAGACAGACGCAATTCAGGGTCCTAGAAGGATAAGTAGGCAACAATCCTATCACCGGTCAGAATGGCAAACCAAGGGCCATTATGGAATCGAGTCATGACTGCTACGTGAGAGATTAGCGAAACCGTGTAGACCTTTGCAAATCGAGCATAACCTTTCTTTTGATGTAGCAAAACTGTCGATTTGAAATTGCCAAGCGGGAGTGATTATTTCAACTCATTTGCTTGTGTTTATGAGGTTTAAGGTGGAATGGACAAAATACAGGCATCACCCAGTCATAACAGGGAATGATGTCCACTGAAATTATGTGTGCATAAACATCAAGTGAACTAGTTGACCAATGCTAACTCTTATGCAGGATTTTGGGTAAAGTATCTCTTTGATAGGTTCTGACGAAGTTATTGGTTGGCACTGTTAATATCAAAACTCCACAAATGAGGCATGGAATGGCGACACACAAGTCCTAGAAGAACTTGACAGCAATAAGGACTGGTTTGGTTTGAATAGTTGCACAGAATTC